CACATACAGCAACTAGAAGGATGTGCAGCTATGACATACAACTATCTACTGGGGCTTTGGGGGAAAAAATAAATAAATAAAATTATAACAACAACAACAAAAAAAGCAGAGACATATTTTGCAGTTCACCCATAGCCCCCTCTAAACGGAGCTGCCCTGCTTATAGTCTCTGCCAAAGGGGTAGTCATAGATGCTATGTCCCTAAACTTACAGCCAAAAGTGATTAAATTCAAGTTGGGTACTGGACCACCAAATGTCAATCCATCAAGTGGCCACCCAGCAAACCATGTCATCTACCTACAAGTGATAAGCTGTGCCAGTCATATTCTCTGTCTTACGAGTCTAAGCAAAGAAGCCTGGAAGAAATGCAAATAAGCTGAAGCCAAAAGGATGCCATGAGGTAGAACCAGGGCAATGGTAAACTGAAGTCACTTGTAGAGTTATGGGGCAGCAAAAACCCTGAGTAAGCAAAGAAGCTAGCAAGAAGAGTGAAGAAGGATATAAAGAGAGAAGCAGAAAGGCCAGGAAGATGACATACCACGTGGTGCATGAGAGAGAAAAGTAGGTGGCCCCCGGGGCTGCTTGGTTCCTAACACCTTCCTAGTTGTACACGAGCCCTCTTATCCTTAACGTGAGTGGGTCCATTACTCACAATAAAGACACCAGGCTTTGGGATCTCCCCACATTTAGAGAGCAGAGAGATGATGTGGGACAGAAGATAGACTTGAAGGGCAGTAGGAGAATGAGGACAGAAGAGTGTATGAGAGCAAAGCAGGAGAGTATCAAGGAACACAGGATGTTGGGCCGGCCCTGTGGCTTGGTGGTTAAGTGCGCGCGCTGCGATGCTGGTGGCCCGGGTTCGGATCCCGGGTGCGCATCAAGGCACCACTTCTCCGTTCATCCTGGGGCCGAGTCCCACATACAGCAACTAGAAGGATGTGCAGCTACGACACGCAACTATCCAGTGGGGCTTTGGGGGGAAAAAATAAAAAAAATAAATAAAAAAAAAAAATCTTAAAAAAAAAAAAAGGAACACAGGATGGTCAAATGTTTCAATATTCAAGGAGAATGAGGACCAAAAAAAGCCCACTGAATTTGAAGATTTGCAGATTACTCACAACTCACCTTTGAGAGAATAAAGTGATGAGAGGGAAAGTCAGATGACACGATGTCATGTCATTCCACTTTTAAAGAAATGACCACATGTTCCTTTATACACTTTCAGATAAAATTCAAATTCCTAACTCTTCTAACACATTTTTTGCTTTACTTGCTTCCACCTTAAAAATCCAAAAGTACTTTCCACTACTCCTCAACGTATAACAAGATGAGCAAGCCCTCAGTCCCTCACAGCCTTGCTCATTTCAACCTCCCTGCCTTTATTCATGTACCCTCCTATCTGAGTGGCCTCTTTTTGTCCATCTAATTCTTACCTATCCCTCAAGGCCTAGTTCACATTCCACCTCCCAGTAAAACTGTCCCTGATAATTACAGTTACCTGTAGTTCCTGCCTCTGAACTTTACTGGCAACCTCTAGGGCAAAAATTGGCTATTTCAAACAATTTAGCATATTACAAAGTAATGAAACTAATGCTACAAGCCACACTTAAAAATAATCTTCATTACTCATTGTGTGTTCAAGTCACCCAAAAGACTTTCATTCTGTTTCATGTGCACACTGGCTCCTAACCACATCAGAATTTTCTCAAAGGCTCCTTTTTATATTCTCTTCAGTGCTATGGGCACACAGTAGCAACGTATTATAAGAATCCGAATTGGGGATTAAAATATCTGGGTTCTAGTCCCTGCTCTGTCAAAATTTTCTTATTTGCAAATATGGGAGCTGGACTAGACGACCTCAAATGCTCCTCCCAACTCTAAGTATGGCTGACTGATATACATTCTAGATTCTATATATATAGTTAAAATCAAAGCAGATAAAAGATGTGTCATGTATTATACCACTGCTATACACACATACATGTGTGTGTATATAAATAGATAGATATAGATATATAGAGATAGAACCAGTGAATCAGTCAAAATTTCCTCCTGACACTTACATTTCCAGTTCACGTGATGACTGAAAATATCAATAAATCCTGTATCCCTCTATTCATATTCCTTCATGCTAACAGCTCTGTCAAGCAGGGACAGTCACATGAGCTTCAAGAGGAATCAGTTATAAAATTATTGCAACAATAAACCTGTTCAGCACGGGCACATGCCCACTTCCTCCTCTCAATTCAGCTTGTCACATTCCTCTGTCTTACCATGAGCCTTCCTGCACCACTATCATCAGTGTTAACACAAATTACTTGTAGGACAATGTTAGACACTAGGGATACAAGAAGGCTTAAGTCTTACAAGGGCTTACAATATAGTTGGGGAGACAGAAACATACAAAAACAGGTAAAGAGCAGCATAAAGAAGAATATTCTAATAATTTTTTATTTATTTATTTTTTTTCCCCCAAAGCCCCAGTAGATAGTTGTATGTCATAGTTGCACATTCTTCTAGCTGCTGTATGTGGGACGCGGCCTCAGCATGGCCGGAGAAGTGGTGCGTCGGTGGGAACCCGGGATCCGAACCCGGGCTGCCAGCAGTGGAGCGCGTGCACTTAACCGCTAAGCCACAGGGCCGGCCCAAGAATACTCTAAATGCCAGATAAATTCTTTCCCTTTGTTGGTATTCAGGATGACCTTCTCCCAGTCGGCAAATTCAGGTCTATTTGTGTGACTGCAAAGCAAGGGCCCGGGTAAACATCAGAATTAGGGAAGAGGTGGGGCCAGCCCCGTGGCTCAGCGGTTAAGTGCGCGTGCTCCGCTAGTGGCGGCCCAGGTTCAGATCCCGGGCGTGCACCGACGCACCACTTGTCCGGCCATGCTAAGGTGGCGTCTCACATACAGCAACTAGAAGGATGTGCAGCTATGACATACAACTATCTACTGGGGCTTTGGGGAGAAAAAGGGAAAAAAAGAGGAGGATTGGCAATTGATGTTAGCTCAGGGCCAGTCTTCCTCACAAAAAAAAAAAAAAGAATTAGGGAAGAGGTGAAATGAGACAGAAAGGACTAATTCTTTGTGAGGCTAATAGAAATCTATATTCTAGTTAGAATTTAGAGGCCACAGGAAATATATTTGTTATATAACAACATGAAATTTCTCTAGTGTGGATTAGGCAACAGACCTCTTAGGATGTACCATACGTAAAACAATATAAAAATATCATCTTGCACTTATTTACGTTGAGTTTACAGTTTTCAAAGTGCTTCAAGATATATTCATAACTATTTGAGGTTAAAAAGACTAGAACTATTATTCTTTTTTTAGACAAAGAAACTAAAGCACAGGGAAGTAAAGTGACCAGTTTAAGGCCATACTCTCCAGAAAGAGAGAAAACTGGAATGAAGTACAGGTCTTCTGAATCCTGGTAAGGTGCTTTTTCTATTAAGTTATTATCCAAGTAGAAATATCATAATAAAACCCAAATCAGAAGTCATAGGTCAATACAGGGCCTGGGCAAGGAGAATAATGGTACAAAATTGTCAAGGATTTTTTAGCACTGGCCAGTGAAGATACCCACCTACAGGAGGTTCTGCAAAACAATGTATTCAACAATGAAGAAGTCTAACTCATTGGGTTTGCCAAGGGTCTCAATGACCATATAAAATCAACATATTTCCTTACTCTTTCATTTCATATTGACTAAACAACCTTCTTTTATTAACTAGTTCCCCAGTCACCCCTATTTCAGAAATGAGTCCAGGATAAGAATATATTCATTAACAGAGTAGCCTATCACTAATTAGAAATTTAAAAAGTTAATTTTCGGGGCCGGCCCCATGGCCTAAGTGCATGCGCTCCACTGCTGGCGGCCCGAGTTCGGATCCCAGGCGTGCACCGATGCACCACTTCTCCGGCCATGCTGAGGCCACGTCCCACATGCAGCAACTAGAGGGATGTGCAACTGTGACGTACAACTATCTGCTGGGGCTTTGGGGAAAAATAAATAAATAAATAAAAAGTTAATTTTCGGCTCCACAACAGTCTCAAGAGTGTTTTAAGCTAACCACCTCTAGGACTGACAGCCAGTGGGTGAATTAGCTGACGAGCAAGGTTCATGGAACCTCCAAGACTCCATCAGCCTCCAAATCCCAGAAAGCAGCCTCCTGTCAACAGCCTACAGCCCAGCTCCACACCATGTAATATCATTATTGATTGGCTCCATATTGTTTTAACTTGAAGGCAATAGTGATGTTCATGTTGCTCATAAAAATGGGAGAACTAGCAAATTTGTTTGGTATTTATTCAGAATTCACAAATCTAGAATCTAGACTCTAACATTTAAATCAGAAATGTTTATTTTACAAATTACTATACCTGGGGCAGCTCGTAGCTGGGAGGAACAGCTCAGAGGTCTTACAGCTGGAAGACAAAATAAAGTGTTTACAAAAAGCAACACAATTCAATGTCTGTGTAAGATGCTTATAAATCCAAATCTAATCTTAAAAAAGAAAGACCAAATTAAACTTACAAAATCTGAGGGCCCATTTTGAGGTACTGGGAAGATTTTTAAAAGTATAAGTGAGGATGGAAGTCATTCTGAAATCTAAAAAGAGAAGAACAAAAATATATCCTGGGTTATTTGAACAATTCGTAGCTTATATTGTAGTCTATGATCTCTGATAACCTCATCCATGGCTACTATAAAATACTGTAAAATTTAATCTATCACCAACTATCCTTCCTCTAATAATATTATTATAGCTACATTGACATAGCTTTCATAGTATGCAAACCACTATTCTAAGGATTAATTCATCTAATCCTCACAACGACCTGTGGAGTAGATGTGATTATTACACCCTTTGTCAGAGATGAGAAAACTGAGGCACACAGGGCTTGAGTGACCTGCCCAAAGACCCACAGCTAGTAAGAGGCAGAGCTGGGATTTGAAGCCAGGCAGTCTAGCTCCAGAGTTTGTGCTCTTCTCTAGGGCCAAAGGAGCAGAGAGACTGCTGGACATGGTCATGAAGCTACCAATGTTAATTTCCTGATTTTGTATTTGGAGCAAATACACACTGAAGTGTTCAGGGAGGGTGAGGTATCATGTGAGCAACTCACTCTCAACTGCTGTAAGAAAAAAAAGTTCATGTATTGCACTTGCTGCTTTTTATAAGCTTGATATTGTTTCAAAAAAATAAAAAATTAAAAAAATATTAAAACCCCATATATTAAAAAAATACTTAAAATATACTAACCACTCCCTCTCAAAAGGCTAAACTAAAAATGTGTTCCTACAAATCAGTAAGAAGAAAATGGGCAAAGGATGTGTACAGACTGTTCACAGAAATGGAATTACAAATGGCTCTTAGATATATGAAAAGATGTTCTATCTCATTCATAAGAGAAATGCAAATTAAAACCACACAGAGATATAATTTTTGACCTGTCAAATTGGCAGACTCAAAGGTTTGACATATAGCATGTGTGTAAGAGTATGCACAAACAGGGCCGGCCCCGTGGCTTAGCAGTTGAGTGCACGCGCTCCGCTGCTGGAGGCCCGGATTCGGATCCCAGGCACGCACCGACGCACCGCTTCTCCGGCCATGCTGAGGCCGCATCCCATATACAGCAACTAGAAGGATGTGCAGCTATGACATACAACTATCTACTGGGGCTTTGGGGGAAAAAAATAAATAAAAATTATTAAAAAAAAAAAAAAAGAGTATGCACAAACAGGTACTCTCACATACTGCCAGTGAGACCGTAAAGTGGTGCAACCCCTAGGGAGAGAAATTTGGCAATTAGCTGTCAAACGTACAACTACACCTAATTTTTGATCCAGCAATTCCACTTCCACGAATTTACTTGATGGATGTTACTTACACATGGGACATGACCTATGTCATTTGTCACTGCAATAAAAAAGATTAGAACAACCAATAAATAGGGACCTTATTAAGTAAACCATGCTGCAACCACCCAGTGAAATATTATACAGCTGTAAAAGATACAGAAATGGTTATGTACCAATATGGAACCATTTCTAACCTGTATTAAGTGAAAAAAACAAGATGCAAAATAGTGTGTACAGCTGTTAAAAAGAGGAAAAACAGTACACACATTTCCTTGAATCTGTATAAAATATCCCTGGAAGTAGAAATAAGATGTTAAAAATAAAGGTTGTCTGGAAGAAAGGAAACTGAGTAACTACGGTACGGGCTAGGGTGTAAGGAAGACTTGTCATTGTACATATTTTATAATTTCTCAATTTTGAAACATGCTTTAACTTACAAAAAAAAAGTTAAGGGTAAACTGGCAAGATTTGCCTATGAAGGCTGTGGTAGCCAGCCTCCAAGACGACCTTCAATAATCTCCACCTCTTGGTATTCACACCCTCATACAGTCACCTCCCATTGTACCACAGTTGGTCTGTGTAAACAAATATGCCAGAAGTGATGACATGTCACTTTTGAGACTAGGCTGTAAGAGATACTGCGGCTTCTGTCTTGGTCTCTCTCTCAGATCACCCAGTCTAGAGGTAGCCAGCTGGCACATCTCAAGCAGCCCCGTGAAGAGGATCGCGTGTTGAAGAACTGACGCCTCCTGCCAACAGCCATGTGAATGAGCTTGGAAGTGGATCCTCTAGCACAGGCCAGGTTTCATATGACAACCGCCCTGGCCAACATTCTGACTGAAACCTCATGAGTCAGAACAACCCAGCTAAATCGCCCTTAAATTCATGATCTTCAGAAACTATATGAGATAAATATTTATTGGGTTTTGCTGCTAAATTTTTTATACAAATACAGTAGATAATTTAAAGCTTTGTTTCTCTTGGGTCTTTATAGACTAAGAGAAGATTCCCTATAGCTCTGAAAAAGAAAAAAAAAAAAAATCTCATTTCCAAACATGTGGATTGGAAAGAGACAGAGGAATCCACTCTCTAGGCTCACCAACCTAGGGATATTCAAGGGACTCTGACCAGGGAGACACGAAGTGGCCCAAAGGCAATTATGTAGTTGCCTTTGTGGTTTACATGGGATCGAATCTAGCCCAACTCTAGGGTTTAAACCAGTGAGAATAATCTCATTCTCTTTGCCAAGATCATTGGCCCAGGGAACCAAGGCCTAAAACGATCGTTCATGGTATTGCCTCAACCAGTGGTATTGATTTAGGGATGGTCTAGTCAGTCTGACATTTAAGTCTTCTGCCTGGAATTCTGGAACACAAATCTTTCCTTCTGAGGTTTGGCATGGCTAAAGCAGTTTGCAAACATGAAAACAGCTAGCATAAGGATAAAGCTGACCCCAAAAGAAGACAGAGCCGAGAATTTCAGAAAAAGAAACTAGAGCCCTGATTGAATCACATCTGAAACCTATCCTCTGGTTGTGCTTTTCAGTTCTGTGAGTCAATAAACCCCCTCTAATAAGCCAATTTGAGATGAATTTTGTTATTTGTGACTGAAAGGCTCCTTCCTGATACATAACCAAAAGGAAAAATGAGCAAATGAGCAATTCACAGAAGAAATTAAAATGTCAAATAATCAAAGTTTTAGGGCCAGCCCAGTGGCGTAGCGGTTAAGTGCATGCACTCCTCTTTGATGGCCCGGGGTTCGCAGGTTCGGATCCCGGGTGCGCACTGACGCACCGCTTGTCGAGCCATGCTGTGGCAGCCTCCCATATAAAATAGAAGAAGACTGGCATGGATGTTAGCACAGGGCCTATCTTCCTCAGCAAAAAGAGGAGGATTGGCATCGGATGTTAGCTCAGGGCTAGTCTTCCTCACAAAAAATAAATAAATAAATAATCAAAATTTTAAATGTTGAACCTCACTAACCTTTTTTTTGTTTTAATTAAAACAAGGTATCATTTTGGGGTTATCAGATTGGCAAAAATTTAAAATATGGCTAATACATAATTCTGTTAAGAATGGATCTAACACAACAGGCACTTTCATATACAGTTGACAGAAGTGTAAATTGCTAAGGCCTTTTTGGAAGGCAAATTTTAGTTATCTATCAAAATCTGAATTACGAATTTATGAGCCCAATAATTCTTCTTATTGGTCTTCAATCTATAGAAACATTCAAGATGTATGTGCAGCACACATAGATCTCTAGCCCATAGAAATACTCAAGATGTCCACTGTAGCATTGTTTACATTTGTGGAAAACCGGAACTAACCTAAATCAATAGGAAATAGTTATTAATAAGAAACAGTTAAATAAATTATAGTACAAACATACCACGGAATACTGATCAGCAGTTTCAGGAAAAAAAAAACACAATGATACACATGTATATACTGACATGGAAAGATGTCCACAATTAAATGAAAAAACAAGTTGCAGAACAATATATATAGTAAGACTCCATTTGATGACAGAAAAAAAGAGAGAGAGAGAAAAGAAAGCCCATAAAGCTATGCATCTATATATGGAAAGGATAAAGAGGGATTTTCATTTTGTACTCTTCTGTCTTAATTTTTTTTTGCAAGCACATTTTATTTTTTATGTACAGTATAATTCTATTTTTATTTAAAATCTACATATATTAATATCTTATATAGATACATAAAAATATACAAATGCATTAAAAAGTCAGAAAAATACAAAGCAAAATGTTAACAGTAGTTAGCTCTGGGTGGTGGAATTTTAGGTGTATTTATTTTCTTTAGTTTTCTGTAGTTTCCAGAAAAAAATTACATAGAATATATATTTCTTCAATAATTAATAAAAAGTAGAGAGAAATTTCAAAAGAAAGAGGGACTAAGCAAACAACCCTATGGGAAGCTTGACCTTTACTGCCATTTGCTCTAAGCTTTAGGAAACAGACATTTTTGACTCAAGGATCTGGGGAGTAAGGAAACTCTAGGGTAGGGCAGGCTTGAGTAGGGTGTGGAACTATGGGAAGATGAAAGAAGTTGCAGGCACCTGGGAGCATGGGAAAGGAAGAAGGGACTAGGCAAGTAAGGAAAGCAAGATGGAGTGGCTCTAACAGCTCATTACTACATCATTAAGACACAATGTAATGGTTAAAAGCAGACTCTAAAGCCAGACTGTCTAAATCCAAAGCCTGGCTCCACCCTAGCTGTATGACCTTTGGCAAGTTACTTAACCTTTCTCTGTTTTAGGAGTAAGATATAGATAATTCATCTGTAAGATGAATTTGTAAGATGTACATAATTCCAGTACCTACCTCATAGGGTGGTTGTGAGGAATAACTACGTTAATATACATAAGAACTTAGAACAGTGCCTGATACAAAGTAGGTCATACAGGTGTTTGCTATTAATTCTAGTGAGTGGTGAGATAAATGTACTTAGTTCCCCTCCACGTAAGCCACAGTAAGAAACATAACATTTTTGCCCTGATGGAGCTTATGATTTTGTTGAAATACAGGGAACAAAAAAGTCAAGAGCCAAAAGGGTGATCTAAATCAGGGGCTGGCAAACTACAACACACGGGCCTCTAGTTAATAAAGTTTTTACATTTTTACAGAGTTGTAGAGGGGCTGGCCCAGTGGCGCAAGCGGTTAGGTGCACGCGCTCCACTGCGGTGGCCCGGGGTTCACGGGTTCAGATCCCAGGCACGTACCGACGCACCGCTTGTTAAGCCATGCTGTGGCGGCGTACCACATGAAGTAGAGGAAGATGGGCGCAGATGTTAGCCCAGGGCCAGTCTTCCTCAGCAAAAAAGAGGAGGATTGGCATCAGATGTTAGCTCAGGGCTGGTCTTCCTCACAAAAAAAAAAAAAAAAAAAGCGTTGTAGCGCAAAACAAAGAATTTATGACAGAGATCAAATTGGGCTTGCAAAGCCTAGGTTATTTACTCTCTGGCCCTTTACAGAAAAACTTGGCCACCTTTGATCTAAATACTAAGTGCTACAGGGAATTAGGTGCAGAACAGAGCATTACCTGGGCAGGAGGCAAGCTTTGAATTGTAAAAATCTTATGAGGTGGAGGGCCTTCAGAGATCATCAAGAATCCTTTTTGCATATTAAACGATCGACAGTCATCCAATTTCTGCTTAAAGCACTCACAGTGATGGAGGACTCACTGTGTGACTTGAGCTTTAAACAAAAACCTCTCTTCTTTCTTTCCATACTCCTCATTTCAGTCTCAACTTCCCTGCCATTTCCCCTGTCCCTTCTTGCTTCCTCTCTTGCTGAAGAGTCAATGCAGTGAGCAGTGAGACTCAGATTTCTGTCCGAATCCTGGCTCTGCCACCTACCAGAAAATGTACATAAACTCTCTGAGCCTCTCAAACTTCACCTAGAAAATGCAAATAACAATAATGTTGGGATCGTTGAGGATTAAACGAGATGGTGTGAAAGTGCCCAGGGGGCCCTCAATGTTACTTCCTTTTGAAATCAATCACCTCGAGCCCATCTTTCCAGCATAAAAACAGCCATCATGCAATGCAGAGCTCTTGACCAAAAGTTAGTAGACATAGGCTCTAGTCCTATTTCTACCACCTGTGGCTCTGGGTAAAATCTCTCACTCTGATTCACGGCCTTCAGTTTCCTCAGCGATAAAGTGAAGGGGATGAATGACCAGATGATCGCCAAGTTCCTCCTGGACTAGAAAATTCTCTGGAACACTGGATCTCCAAGCAGGATAGAGGAAGGTCTCAGCTCCTTCCACACTCGAGTCCCGAAAGTCCCATGACCGAGTCCCACCTTTGGTAGCAAGAATGCAGTAAACCGGTGGGCCTGTTCTCAATCTTTACAGCAGCTGGCCCGGCTACAGGCAAAACAGGTTGTTACAAACACCGCAACAAAGCCCAGGGCTCTAAGCCGACACACACACAGGCAACAGCTCCTTAACTTGCGGTGATAAATTACAAGACAAAAGTGACACGGCTGCTCGGAGCTATAGACATAACGCTAGTTCAAGGTACTGCCCTAATTGCATTGCTACTGTAGACCTTGTCAGAGGAGCTTCCTTGTGCTCCCTGGAACTCGACTCCCCTAGACAGGGGAGGCGGCCGCGGGCACTGGCGAAGCAGGTGGGAAAGGAAGTGCGGATCTCGCCGCGGGTAACCGGCCAGGCCGAAAGTCGAGCGCACGCAGCATCTCACCTTCGCGTCTGCTCAGGGTCCCGCGGCTGGCAACGTTCGGACCCAAGTGCCAACACTCTGCAGAAACAAGGGGCGGGTCCTGCTAGAAAGGACCCCTGACGCCCTTCCGCGCACTCGGCGGGCTTTTCCGGCCTCGCGGGCTGCCCGCCGGCCGCCTGACTGGAAAACTCGGCACTCGGCCCCCTCCTCGATGGGCTTCCTTCCTTCCAGCGGAGAAAGAGTTCTTTCCTCCCCATTACCGGAAGCGAAAGGCAGAGTTAAGGCGCCGGCGGCAACTTGGCATCGCGGTTTTAGTCAGGCAGGACATCGGGCGCCTGGCAAACGACAGGCCGCAGGAAGAAAAAAGTGCGCCGCTCGGCCACCGCCGCTTGAAGCACTGTCAACTTTCGTCGTCTTCAGCTCGAGATGGTGGCCTCCCGGGCAATTGGCAGTCTCAGCCGCTTCACCGGCTCCAGGACGCTCCGCTGCCCAGGTGAGGCCTGGCTGAGGGCGCTCCGGCGCCCCGAGCAGAACTCCAGCGGAGACTGGGGCAGTCCCGGAGCCGCGTCTCCCCCTCGCTGCCGCCTCACCGCCCCTGCCCGGGCCCAGCCCTGGATGGCGGGGAGGGATGCTGCCCTGGGACCCTGTCGTCTGTGTCCTTGCACGAGGACTGATACTTTCTCTCTCATGACTCCGAGTCTTGCAGCGGTTTCAGCTCCATAACCCCTAACGTGTCTGAGTCCTGTACAACCGATCTGGTATTTTCCGCAGGTCTCCCCGTCGCACTTCTGGGCTCACGTCCCTCGTATTTTCTTGAATGATGGCCTTGGACTTCTCTGCACTAGATTGGGAGTGCTAGGAGGACTGGGATAGTCCAGTCTGTCACAACTTTGTGGCTCCACAGCACCTTGCCCGTAACAAAAGCTGTCTTAAAAGTTGCTTGGATGGAACTAACCAGCCTTGCAAATGACGGCCACTCGCTGCTCCTTTCCCTCAAAACCATTTTTGTACCTATTACCACATTTCGGTAGGAAGCTCAACTCTTGGAATTCCAATAATCCCAGTGTGAATGTATCATATGTTGAATTTCAAGGGGAAGTCCTGCAACTTGCTAGAAGAAACGTTTTTAAAAATACGCAAACACCTGTATCTTAAGCAATAAAATGTTAGATAATTTTTTAAAGAACTATTTCTAATCCTGTTTCTGACGATACCCAGTTGGCTTGCATTAGCAGTATTCTTTTTCTCTTCGAACTGGCAGTGAAAGGGTTAAAGTGGGTGATTGTGGAAAATCAAGCATTTTCTTCCCGTCTCAAATCTGTAAGGTGACATGTGACTAACTTTTTATTGCATGTTGTACTTAATAGCGGTTATTTAATTAGAAATTTAATTTGTAATATGCCTTCTTGCTCCTGAACCACTGGGGTAAGGATGCTGTTTTTAGATAGTTAACTGGAGTCTCCCTTTACTGTAAGGGATTAATTTTGGCTGATTGAGTCTTTTTCTGCTTTCTTATTTCGACCGCTGATTTTAGTCTCCACAGGACTGCTGTGTGTGTGTGTGTGTACCAGTCGTATTACAAAAATCGAAATGTTGTAAAGATTGGGAGGAGGGCTTAAGAAGAAAGAATCACCCATTTTCTTTACTACTCACATACCTTCTGTTAGCATTTGGTCACGTTACCTTACAGTTTTGTTTTGTTTTGTTTCCTATTTTCCACATTTTTGGTTTAACGCTTTTAAAAAATCAAATGTATATTTTTGAACTTGCCTCTGTATTGGTTTTAAGGTACTTCTCATGGATTAGCAACTGGTGTAACACTGACCTGTAGTCAGATCATGTGGTTTCTAGTCACTAATTAGCTGTGTGACTTTGGACAAATACCTTAATCTAACTGGGCTTTATTTTCGTCATCTGTAAAATGAATGATTGAGACTATGGATTTTCTTTGACATGAGAAATAGCATGACAGAGCAACTAAAAGCATTAAATTTGTAGTTACTTCTGGGTTTGAATCTGGCTCTGCCTTTTACCCTCTGGTGACCTTGGGCAATTTCTGTGTCTATTTTCTCATTTGTGAAATGGGGAATAATACCATCTTGTGAGCTTTTAAGGAGTTATTTAGGTGGAAAGCAGGTTTTTTAAAGTAATTTTTATATTCTACATGTGTAATAAAAAGTTACAAGCTTAGTTTTTCTATATTTCTTGTATAGAAATATATATACACACATATAAATGTATATATATTTTGCATTGTGTTTTTAGCAATAAGAAAATATGGCTTATTATGGTTATTGCCCCTTTTAACAGCAATTTATAAATTTTGAAAAAACATCTAGAAAGTGAATTTAAAATTACTTGCACACCTGGCTTGCCATTTAGACTCAACAGATTGGTCCTTTACACTGAAAGTCTGTGCCAAGACATTGTCAAACATTTAGTGAGATTGACATTTACTAGTGGATGATTAAATTTTCTTGAAACTGATTTGTAATTCTTGAAGTTTTAACCCATTTCTCCCCTACAAGTGCTGTAATTCTGAATATGACTGGCAAATGAAAATCACATCTTGACCAAAATATCTTATTTAATTCCCACTCCTACCCTAAATCCAAATTCCTAATTATGTAAGTGGTAAAATAGTTTCACAGGAAATGAATTAGAGGCAAATACCTTAGTAGATGGTGTGTATTTAAAATTGGCTCTCACTTCCTTCATCCTGTGCCTTCCCCCAGGGTTGAATATTGAGAAAAGTTGTTGATTGTTACAACCAAAGTAACATTTTCATATTTGAAATTTGTGTCACCATAATCCAACCCTCTGCCCGTGAATTCTTAGGTCTTATAGGTATCTTCTTGAGTTAAATTATTAAAATGTTTTAAAAAGTAGGGCAAAGGTTTCTTTGTCGCTTGCTAGCGCAGGAGATATAGGCTAAAGTTCACCCAGCTGCTCTGACGTAAGCCCTCCTGATTAGGTAGTGGGTAAGGCTGGCTTCCAAAAGCAAAGCTTCGGTGTACTCCAGCTTGACTTAGTTGACTGTGGTTTGGAATTCTTTTCCAGATATGTTTGTACATTTACCGATTTTCTGTGTTTTTTGTCTCTCTTGAGTTAGAGGAGGTTTTCTGTATGTGTATACGGGTATGTGTGTGGTAAAGGTAGGTTAATGGATAAGAGTTTAAAATGGTTTGAACTGTAAGCTAATGAGCACCAACTTGTTGTCTCAAATATTTGGTCTTTATTTTTTTTTTTAAAGATTTTATTTATTTTTTTCCCCCCCAAAGCCCCAGTAGATAGTTGTATGTCATAGCTAGACATCCTTAACTAGAACATCCTTCTAGTTGCTGTATGTGGGACGTGGCCTCAGCATGACCAGAGAAGCAGTGCGTGCCTGGGATCCGAACCCGGGCAGCCAGCAGTGGGGCGCGCGTGCGTAACCGCTAAGCCGACCCCTCAAATATTTGGTCTTTAAAGTTCCAGCACATGCCCACACCCCCCAACCTGTTCTTTTTTTTTTTTTTTTTTTTTTTTTTGATTAGGCACTTATCTTCTAACATGCTTATTTACATGTTTATGTTTCTTGGTGTTTGTGTGTATTTCCACCCCATACCTCCCACCCTGCATTCCCAATCAGTCCATTGCCACTCTAATCCACTTTACCCTGTTCTAGCTAGAATTGCCTATTCCCTGGCTCTCCTCCCACTGGAATTTCTACTTTACAGGCCAACTTCTTTTTATGCCAGGCCTATTTTCACCTCTTCATTTATCTCTACTGAGTATATATTCTTCCCAGATATCATATCCCCTGCTGCCATAGAATGTAAGCTCCACAACAACAGGGATTTTTGTCTTTTCATTCACTCCAAGTGCCTAGAACAGTGTATGGCACATAGGTAGGCCACAATAAATTTTTTTTGCTGAATGAATGACTGTGAGGTGATGTTAGAAGAGATTACAGTTTAGTTGGGGGAAATACCTGCTACAGATGCAGTGATTAGAGAACAAAACAGTAGATGATAAAGATCAAAATCTGGGCAGGGAAGAGAAACATCATTGTAGATGGAATCTCAAGATAAAGCTTTGCGAAAGGTTGGAACCATGATACAAATATAAAGAAAGAAGAGGGTGAAATACAAATGATAAAGATTTCAAATGATGGAAGAGCAAAGGGAAGTATATTGTTAGTGAAATAGAGGCACTGGGGATTGAGGAGATGGCTGGCTTCTCCTATCTTAGTTTATTTTGGTGTGGCACTTTGACTTACAGGTACTTTTATATGTAATCATTACATCACTTTTATTTCTGCCTTTATAAGGACACTGAAATGCACTAAGAGACTTGTGCATTGTCATGCCGCTAGTAAACTATAAACTTGATGGTTGAACCCAAGTCTTTTGACTCTCAGGTCCTTTGTCTTTGCACTAAGTGGGCTGAGTTGGATTGCTTAAAGAAAAAATGGGTACAGAACCAGACATCACCTCAGTCTGGTTCTAGTGCCATCTACACAGTTTTCTTTCTTTTTTTAAATAATATGTTGCTTTGCCAGTATAAAGCTGCTATTTTCTGTGCCTCTTTTCCCCTCCCTGAAAGAACTGTGGGGTAGAGAGAAAGATAGAGGAAGCAAGAGCATTGGCTACTATTGATGGTCCTCTCCAAATCCACTGCATCATCACTGGGTTCTCCAAATTAGTGGTTCCCACATGCCCATTAGTTTGCTGTCTACTTCAGTTACCTTTTTAAAAAATACAGATTCTGAGGCTCAGCTCTCTTAAATTCTGATTCTGTGTTTCTAAGTTCTCTGTTGCCCAGGAATTTGTGAGTATATTTGAGCCTCCCCAACTGATTCTAATGCCCAACATAGTTCTGGAATCATTTCTCAGTACTGCAATGGGAATCCCAGTCCAGTTGGATGTGTTGAATAGTCTGTTGGTTCTGCTTTCGCCATATGTAATAGTTCCCCACTCCAGATGGGTCCCTGCCTCCTGGTCAAATATAGGTCATTCTCACCTTGGAACTGGGTATGATTCTAAGGTTTGTTTTTAAATCATGTAGAAATGTTTTTGGTAGAGT